AAATCAATACTAAAAGAAGAAAATGATAAGCAAGATATTGAATTTAAGTAGATAATAAATACTTTAGATAGTCACAAGAAGAAAAAACATATTGGCAGCAACAAAAAAGCAAGAAAACATAGTTACAAACAACTTATATTCAAAATCGACAAAACTACTAAATGAAGAAACAGTTATAGAAATTCAATCAACATACACAATAGAAATCCCTAACAATGTCGAAATAGAAGAAGCAAATTTCTCATCACAAAAGAAACATGGAAAAGCAAAACATAAAATTAGCAGTATTCATATTAAAGAAACAGACTAATCCAGTACAGATCAACATAATAATCACTTGGGTAGAACAGATATTAAATTCAACAGAAAGCCAATATAGAGAGAAATCACTATAGAAGAATCTGATTCTGAATATGATACAGAAAACTCTGATATAGAGTTTTCTATATCTATACTGCTTAAAAAGTATAAGATATCAAGTAAGTTAGTTTAGATTAAACAAAACTAAGTCTCAATTAGGTATTCTAAGTTAGATTTAAAGAAAAATATATACTTTTCTAGTAGCTTGACATAGTACCTCTAAATCAATCAGAGTTATTGCTAACAGTTTATCACTATTAATTATTCTAAAAAATAATAAATAGCTAAAATTGATATTATATAAGTGAAAGATAAAAAATAACTTAAAACTCTTCAAAAGATTATTACTCTATTTCATAATATCTTCTTAAAAGTGGTTTTGTCTGGTTGAAATATTTTTTTTTACTTTATTTGGATTTCAAAAAGAGTTTTTTTTGGCATTATCTGTGGTATCAAACGAGTCTTCATTTAAATATAGACTAGATTGGAATAGTTTAAGAAAAATAAAAAAAATCCCAGTTTTCACTTTAAAAAGTTTTTTTATCACTTGATAAACTCAGAAAAGAAATAAAATTTCTTTGTATGAATTCATTCTACTTTTTAATATCATAATTGTTTTCTGGGAATTGAATATATAGTATATAATTGAAGGAAAACTTTTTCTAGAACTTTATTTCCTATATTATCTATAATATAATAGAGATAATGAGTATAATCAATAGAAACTTGTTTACTTTTCCTAAAATAAATATATTTTATATTAGTCAATCACCTTTATAATATCCAAAATTCAAAGTCAAACTGTGATAAGTAAAATTCTTTAGAAAATTATGAAAGTGATAGCTTTAAGATATCAATAAGTGACTGGAAATGAAAAAATAAGCATTTTTATCATCAAAAACATATATACATCTTTTGTTTCAAAAGTGGAAAAGATTTTCAAATACTTTATTATTGATTTTTTTTTCTTTGGAAACTTTTTTGTTATTGATATCAAAGGTGTTACTAGACTTGTTCTTAGTTACCAGAAGCTATGTTTTTGATAAAAAAGATTGTAAACAAGTAAAGGAAGATAGAGATGGTTCTTAAAGTCACTCTTCAAGAGGTTTTGAGAAAAATGTTTCAAGACTTTTTAGCAAAAAAACAAAAAAAAATTCTTGCAAATATCTTTTTTATGTATAGTTAGAGAATTAGTAAAAAGAGTTTTTATTTATGAAATTTAATATAAAATAGATTTAAAAATAAATATATATAGAAAAAAATTTTTCTTGATAAAATAATTATCAATAAACAATATATTTTAAGTAAATTAATAATAAAAAGATTTGATCTATATAAATAGACAAAATACATAGTAAATAAATAATAAAAAAAAATTATATATTTATTAAAATATTTTGTATATATAAATAAAGTAAATAAAATATAAGAAAAAGTTAAAATTAGTTTTTAAGAAATTTGATAGATTATATTAAAATAAAAAGAAAAAAATAAAAAAAAAAGAAACACACTTATTAATAAACAATAGAAAAGAAAAAAAATAATATAATTAAATTAATTTTTTAATTAATAAAATAAATTTCAAGAATTAGTTTTGGTATAATAAGTTTTTGTACAAATTAATAAAAAATAATCATATTAAATAAGCTACTAATCTAATATAAATAAAAAAAAGTCAGAATAAAAGCAAAAAAATAAATATTAAAGATATAAAAAATATATATATAATTAGATCTATAAGCAAGATTGAAATATAAAATATAAAAAAATTATAGAATAAAAATAAGAATAGAAAATCAATAAAAAAAAAAAGCTTAAAAAAGTTTTTAGAATCACAAAGTAGAAAATTTTTAAACAAAATAAAAAAATACAAATAGAAGAAAAAAATATTGAAAATGAAGTTCACAAAAATCTTAATAAATAAAGTGCAATATAGTATAAAGTGATTAAAGTTTAAGTTCTATCAGAATCTTGTGTAGTGATTTGTAGGTAATAATATTAGAAGTTGAAATGATTTTTACTTGAACTACTAATAGAACAATAAATTACTTCAAAAGTTACACTTAGAGTTTTAGAAATAAAATAGAAAATAGAAAAGATTGAGTTAAATAGGGATTTAGCTTTAGCCGCATAATAAATTTAATGTTTAATAAAGCACACATACATGCCTAGCCTGACAGAGGGTTTAAAAAAATTATAATTCTTTTTATAATAAAATATTAAAAACTAATTTATAGTTTTAATAATAAATAACATAAAACTATATCAACATAATGCATAAAATTATACAATATATTTAATAAATTTATATTAAAATCAATTTTATTTTTTCGTTATTACACTGGCTTTATTTGTGCGGGATTCAATATCATATTTATACATCATAAGTATTTAATCCAAAACTTAAACACAAACATCTTTTTACCATATTTTCAAATCAAATTCCGCGTATATACGAAGAGTCACACTTTGAAATTATTCGTTAACTTTGTCTTATTTGATTTACTATTTCTGAAATTTTGTTCCGCAATATCATGTTTGCAAAATTCAATATACGAATTTGGCCAAGTTTTCTTAACAAATTCCAGGAGATTCGATTCGATAATCTTTTTATTAGCAGCCCTAAGTGGTGTAATTATTGCTAGCAACGTCCGTAAGTTTGGTACAATTTCCTTATTTACGAAATCGCCTGTAAAAACAGATGCTGCCTGATCGAATGCCTTGCATCGACAAAGCGCTTCAATGTAAGAATTATAGTGATTTAAATTCAGTTCCACCGTGGGATCAGACGAAAATATTTTCCATTGAGTCCTTAATTTGATGAGATTTTCTGAAAATCCAAAATGATCAATGACTAATGAAATGGTTGCGCCGAGTTCCTCCATGAGATAAGTTTTCTGCATCTTTTCCCATAGTTTGAGAAATTCAGTCTCGTTGCGTAACATTCCGTACGCATTCAGTAAGATAGTTTCACCTATGTGTCCCGGCTTAATTTGTGGCGCAATTGCTAATTCATCTACCCATCTCTTGAGTTTTTCCAAATTCTTTAATTTAATATAATGATCAACGAGTTTATTAAGCAATAACGAGTATGATCCGTTATTTGATTTCAAATACAAAATCATCATTTCGGCATTTTCAGCGAATCCTTTTGACAGGTATGTGTGTGCCAGTTCTTCAAATAATTGGTTGTTTGTAATAATTCTGGCAGTAATCATATAATATATGACCTTTTCTGAATAACGTAAGTGATCGCCATAAAGGAACGCTAAGCATATATAGTGTCCAAGATCATAATTAATTGAGATACCTTTTTCGGACATCTTGTCGAAAGCTTCATAAGCCATTTCGAACTGTTGGTAACCAAACAAACCCTGAAATATAGTCAGAATAATCAATGGATGAGATTGAATGTCTTGTGATGTTATTTCCATGTACTCCTTGACAGCTTGCTTGGGATTGTTTTCTATGAACGACTTCTCAATGAGTTGTAAGCAATTCTTTCCATCTTGATCCAACTCCTTAGAATCAAGTTTAACCATATCTCTATAAAATATGTCGAATAATTGTATATTTTTTTCCCTTCGACATTTTTTAAGCATCATTTCATAAATCTTTCTTTTGAACTCGATGCCATTACTTTTAAATAATTGGTATAGTTTAATCGTTTCATGAAAGCTAGAAGGCATATACATCGCACTTGCACAAATTGAGTTTCCGGGAATTAATCCTAGTGAAATTCTCTCTTGGAAAAAATCCAAAATACTCGATTTATCGGGCACCAATTTGTTCGGCATAAAATCGTTGAATACACTGATTGCTTTGTCTAAGGAGCCGATATTAATATAATAATCGATCAATCCACTATAAATTTCTTTACGATGATGCTCTTTCCATTTCGTGTAAGCAGACCACATCATTTCTTCATTATCCGCTTTTATCGCCTCTTCGAAGCTAATATATGCGTGTTTAAATGGAGCTGCCTTCATATAGCTAAAATTTCTCGGTTTCTTAATTCCAACTTGAGAACTAGATTTATCTGCTTCAATTTCAGAATGAACCATAGTTGTTGTTTTATTCGTCTTTTTGATCCTGGATTTCTTTAATGGTTTGACGATTCCTACATGATGATTAGGCTCCAGCGACTTTGCAGTATTACCCGAGTGAGGATTAGTCTTGGCTATCTTTACGTCATTCTTTATCTTTTTATTTTCATTTGATGATTTGGTGACTTCCAGCTGAGAATTGGACACCGTCGAAAGATGCTCAACGCATGGTTCTCGAAAAACTTTTTTCGGTTGATCGTATATATTAATTATTTGACCTTGATTCTTCCTTGCGCTTTTGAGGATTAGTACGGAAAATTTTTTGATTCTTAAGGAAGGTTTTAAGTTGATTGTAATAAACATCATGAAAATGCAAAGATTATCTGAATGCTACGTGTCTTAGAAATGATCTACTACATACAGATGTGCAATCCTTTTTTTAAATTACCTACGTATATAATAGTTATTTTAGTCATATAATCTTTTTTTTTTTTAAATCCTCTATCAGGTGCTTTATTAAACATTTGTATACTATATATTAATTATATGTGCTAAATTCAAATTTCTATTTAACATACTTGTCTTTGTTTTATATTTTATTTCTAAAACTCTAAGTACAATTTTTAGAAGTAATTTATTGCTCCGTTAATAATTCAGATAAAGATTCTTTAACCTCTTTGTCTACTGTGAATCACTATTTAAGGTTCTATCAGGATTAAAATCCAATCACTTCATACTATATTGCACTTCATTTATTAATAATATCTTTATAAGAAATTTATCTTCAATATTTTCTTCTTCTTTTTTTTATAATTTTTTTATTTTGCTTGAAAATTTTTTACTTTGTGATCTTAAGAACTCTTTTAAACTTCTTTTTTCTATTAATTCTTTATTCTTATTTGTATTCTATAATCTTTTTACATCTTGTATTTTAAACTTGTTTATAAATTTGTTTTTTTTTTTTTAATACTCATAGTCAAATCAGTATAATGTGTTTATTTATTATAAATAACAAAACTACTTGCAATACATTGGACAAATATATCATGGCTAAACTAAATTTTATGCTGTCTTACTTGTTATATAGTAAGCTTACAATTCTCAAATGAGCTTCAGCCTCTAAGTATAACCTTGAAAACAATATTTCACTCTGGAATAAGTTTTGAATAAAAATTCTTTTAACTTACTCATCATTGCCAATAGGTTGCCACTATCACTTATCCTCTAAGCAATTAATTTTTGAAAACTATAATAGAAAAAAAGAAAAATAAAAGGAAAAGGTATATCAAACAATGTACAATTGTGCTTATATAAAAAAAAAAAAAAATAAACCTACTTCATGTTCTTCAAAAAATTTCTACCAAAAATCTCTTTTTATTAGGAGTTAATCCTTCCAGGATATTTTTTTTCTTTCTAATTATCTAAAAAATTTATTTATTCATAATCTTGATTATTTTTTTGTAACTATCTGAGGTACTTATCATCTACTCAGATCCAACATCTTGTTTATCACTTTCTTTCTTTCAATATGATTTTTATTTACTCATACAGACCTTAACAGTTTATAGTAGATCCCAAGTTCTTATTTAACTTTTCAGTTATATTGTATAACTACCGATATCTTCTAGCAGCCACACTTAATTAAAAATTTTTTACTGATATATATCTTTCATTATTCAAAAAGTCATTTCCCAAGAATTCTTTTGCCTTATAATAGTGGGAAGGTTTCAGAAGAACAGTAGGAATCCTCATTGATTATAATATTATTACACAATGTCTGGAAAAATACATTCTTAATTCTAAAAAAGAGCAGTAGCCCATAGTTTTCTACTTTTCAGTTTTATTGCTTGATTAGAATAAGGAAATAATTTTCTTCATATACTTAGTCTGACTGGAATAATAAAAAGTTAAAAACCTTAATTTAAACAAATAATCATCTTTTTATCATCTAGGAAATTTAATGCCTATCCTAATGGTTTTATGATCTCTTTGCTTCAGTTATACTTTATTTTGAGAAGTAAAGGATTTCACATCAATTGATTTTCTTTTATTTTACCAATGATATAATTAAAACACATGAGCATAATCAATAAAACCTTGTTTATATCTTACTACTAATATATTTCATGTTGACCAATTAAAAGCCAGATAATATTGTACTATTAGAAATTCAGGATCAAGTTGGGATTAGAGATCTCAATTTTTATCTGAATTCAAATGATCCGTGGATTTGATCCGAACGAATCGGATTAGATTTTAAATTTTTTGATCCGTTTGTATATGAATCAGATACAGATTTCAAGTTTTAAAACCTAGTTAGGTTAAATAAAAATCGGTAATTTAAATGTAGCTATTTAAGATAATTAAAAAAACCCCCTGGATTTTTTTTTTATATTCCTTTAACACCTTTATATGTTTCTTTAAAATTTTGTGAT